GTGATCCAGGGCAAGAGGCCATAGCACGAACCGATTTTCTGTTCAGCAGCGAGGGCGAGGCGCCACCTTCAGCAAGGTTGCAAAAAATAAATTTGCCTATGTCATGGATACCCGGGATAAGGGTAAGGCGACAATTGATGATGTATTGTAGTGCGAGAGTACCCAAACGTATTCCTGGAGGACTTACCCAGGGTACCTCCGGAGAGACATGTTGAGTATAAGATTGAACTTGTCCCTGGTGCAGCTCTGATAGTCAAGGTACCATATCGGTTGGCTCCTCCCGAGATGCAGGAGTTGTCTACACAGCTTCAAGAGCTGCTAGACAAGGGATTTATCAGGCCAAGCAGTTCGCCATGGGGATGGTCGATCCTGTTTGTGAAGAAGAAGGACGGGTTACATCACATGTGGATAGACTACCAAGAGTTGATTAAGGTAACGATGAAGAACCATTACCCACTTCCGAGGATAGATGATTTGTTTGACCAGCTTCAGGGAGCATCTTGGTTCTCCAATATTGATCTATGGTCGGGTTATCATGAGATGCGAGTTAGAGATGAGGACATGCAGAAGACAACTTTTAGGACTCGCTATGGTCATTATGAGTTTGTGGTGATGCTGTTTGGGCTCACCAATGCTCCAGTCGCATTCATAGATCTCATGAACCGCGTGTGCATACCGATGCTGGATCGGTCTATAATAGTCTTCATTGATGACATCTTGGTTTACTCCAAGACTCAGGAGCAGCATGAGGAGCACCAAAGGGAGGTACTAGAGATATTGAGGAAGGAGAGGCTTTTTGTGAAGTTCTCAAAGTGTGAGTTTTGGTTGCGCGAGGTACAGTTTCTAGGGAACCTTGTCAACTAGAAGGGTATTCTAGTCGATCCGACCAAGATAAAGGATGTGATTGAGTAGGAGATTTCGATGTCTCCAACTGAGATTTGTAGTTTCCTAGGTCTAGCGGGTTATTACTAGAGATTTATTAAGTACTTCTCCAAGATTGCAGTTCTGTTGACCCGAATGAACAAGAAGTCGGTGGTTTTTTGCTGGGGGCCTAAGCAGCAGGTAGCCTTCGAGACGCTCAGGCAACGATTATGCGAGGCATCGATTCTGACCTTGCCAGCGGAAGTTGATGACTTCTTAGTTTACTATGATGCTTCGATCACAGGCATGGGATCAGTTTTGATGCAGCAGGGTCATGTAACTATCCGACACACGATTTAGAGCTCGAGGATGTTGTGTTCGCCCACAAGATTTGGCGGAATCACCTCTACGGGGTCCGTACCTCATGGATCAGCCGAATCTAATCATGAGGTAGGGTCGGTGGTGAGATGTGGTGAAGGACTATGATTGTGAGATCCTCTACCACCCAGGTAAGGTCAACGTGGTCGTTGATGCCCTGAGCCGCAACGTGGTAGCAGCCATTGCTGGAGCAGATCTGAGAGGCGCAGGTTGAGGGCTTGAAGGAGTAGCATCGTAAGTGCGAGCGGATCATAGGTGAGGTGGACTCCTTTGAAAATTGTGGATTGTTAACCCTGCATGGGAGGGTCTGGGTGCCGTACTGGGGCGGAGTACGACATATATTGATGGATGAGGCCCATAAGTCCAGGTTTTCCATCTATCCCTGGGCGACGAAGATGTACAAAGATCTTCGACCCGATTATTGGTAGCCCTACATGAAGCGGGATGTAGCCTGGTACATAGAGAGATGTATGACCTGCAGGAAGGTCAAGGCGGAGCACCAGAGGCCTCATGACAAGATGCAGTCATTATAAATCCCTGTGTGGAAGTGGGAGGACATTACTATGGATTTCATCACTAAGCTTCCAAGGACCGCATGTGGGGTTGATTCGATATGGGTCATTGTGGATAGGTTGAGAAAGGGCGCTCACTTTATCACAATCCAGGAGAGCATATTGGCTGAGAAGCTGGCTGAGATTTATATGCAACCGGCAGTGGCACGTCATGGAGTGCCATCTCGGTGGTATCAGACCGAGATGTCCGTTTCACTTCCAGATTTTGGAGGCGGTTCCACGATGGGATGGGTACTCGTATTCACTTCAACATCACTTTCCACCTATAGACTGACGAACAGAGCGAGAGGAAGATTCAGACTCTCGAGGACACGCTTCGTGCATGTGTTTTGGATTTCGGTGGCAGTTGGGTTATATATCTTCCGTTAGCGGAATTTTCTTATAACAACAGCCACCATGCCAACATAGAACGACCTCAATTCAAGATGCTCTACGGGAGGAAGTGTAGGACCTTAATCTGTTGGGGTGAGGTCGGTCAAAGGATCATAGGGAGTACTAAGGTTGTACTTTAGACCACAAAGTGGATCCAGCAGGTCAGTAGTAGGCTCCAGACTGCTCAGAGTCGGCAAAAGAGCTACGCCGACAAGCGGCGTTCGGACTTGGAGTTTCATGAGGGCAACATGATCCTCCTGAAGGTGTCATCGTAGAAGGGTGTCATTCGGTTCTGGAAGCGGAGCAAGCTGGGCCCCAGGTATATTGTCCCCTTCAGAATCATTGATCGGGTGGGAAAGGTAACGTATCGATTGGATCTTCCAGCAAAGCTCTGCCAGATCCACAACACTTTCCATGTTTCCCAGCTACGAAAGTTCTTAGTGGATAACACGATACTTGTCCCCTTAGAGGATATTCAGGTTAATGACAACCTGAATTAGATTGAAAGACTCGTGGCGATATTGGATCGCAAGACGAAGGAGCTGAGGAACAAGAGGGTTGAGCTAGGGAAGGTCTAGTGGCAGCATCGTAAGGGTTCAGAGTAGACTTGGGAGTCCAAGGGGGACATTAGGGAGCACTACCTGAAGTTGTTTCCAGATGTAGCAGACTTCGAGGATGAAGTCTAAGACAACTGGGGGAGAATTTGAACATCTGATTCCTGGTACACATTTAACTCGTTTATTTATTTATTTTAAATGAAGGAATCAACGAGTTGGTGGCCCTAACTCATCGAGTATAGGGTAGAGTATGCACAGTATTTGAGCCATCTACTCGGCGAGTCAAGATCCCCGACTCCACGAGTAGGTTGGCCAGGGTGAAACCCTAATTTTGGGGTTTTGCACCCTTTTTAACCATCTTAATTCCCACCCCTTGGCCTCATTTATAGCCTCCTTGTCCCAAAACCTGATTCACGAAACCTAGAGCATTCCTTGAGTATGTGAGCTATTTTGAGTGATCTTTGTGCATTTTTGAATATTGTGAAAGAAGAAGAATAAAAAGGGCTCAAGAGGGAAGGAGTAGATCCATAAGCTACACTCCATTTGCTACATTTTCTGGTAATCAAGTCTCTAACTTGATGATTCTTTCTTAGATCTATTTACTTCCTTTGTATGAGGGTTGTGGTTCATGAACCTTGGTCTTTGGCATTTGGACGTCCAAAGTGACATATATCTCAGATCTGGGATCTAGGAGGGGTTCCATGGCATAAAGGTGCAAACTGTATGACCATGGAAGCCCCATGCAACCTGTTAAGCATTTATATGGCCTTTTTAGCCTTAAAAGGCCATACATGGAAGAAAGCTCGGGACTTTACGGGGTTAACTGGTATCTAGGACCTAGATCTAGGTTTTCATGCTTTGGTTTGGGATACTAAGGCTTTTCGGATAAGATTTATGTCCTAAAGGAATTAAGGTTTTAGCTAAACCCTTGAAGAAGAGCTATCAACAGGTAAAGTTGGAAACTTTACTCTTAGAAATGTCATTTCCAGTGAAAAAGAGAAGTATGGACTTTAGATGTAGAGAACAAGGGCTTAATCTGTTATGATCGCAAAATAGACAGTGGGACTCGTCGAGTTCATGAGGGAACTCGACGAGTGGGGTCATGTTGGTCTGTTCCATTTTATGGTAGAACTCGATAAGTTTGTATAGGGACTCGAAGAATTGATTTTCCAAGTCATGACTATGAGCAGCTCGATAGGACTCGACGAGTCGGAGGAACGAATCGGCGAGTTGAGTCGCAATTTCAGGATTTCTGATTTAAAAGAGCTCGATGAGTTGAAAGGTTGACTAGGCGAGTTGGTCAACTCAGAGTGTTGACTTTGACTAGAGCATCGACTTTGACCAGGGGTAAAATGGTCATTTTACCCTTAGATGGATTTTCAGTTTTCTAACTAAGTATTATTGTATTGAGTTAGTCGGGGAGTCGTGGGAGCAGCCAACAAAGATTCCTCACACACGAGTTCAGCATCTAGTTTGAGAGGTGAGTTTTCCTCCAGTAAGAATGGTTCGAAGGCACCAATGTCGACCCCTTCATCTATGTTAGCGTATGCTAGACTTAGGTCTGATGCCGGGGTAAGCCCAATGCTCGGTCTAACGCCGGGGAAAGCTCGATGCAGATTTAGCTTATATATCATGTGTTATATGTTCCGGACCTTGGTCCGATCCAGGACAAACATGAGGAAGCTTTTTATGTTATATGTTTATGTTTTATGTGTTGTTATTATGATATATGTATACCGGAATTCGGTCCGATGTTGGGCGGGGTCCGATGCCAGTTTCATTCGATGTCGGGCGGGGCCTAATGTAGTGGGCAAGGCCCACTATATGCTATTATATGTTTATTGTATGGTATGTGGTAGTTTGGGGGAGGAGCTCACTAAGCTTCGTGCTTACAGTTTTCAGTTTTGGTTTCAGGTACTTCTGCTAGCAAAGGGAAGGGCTCGAGATGATCGCATGACACACAACATAGTTTTCAGGCTAGAATATTTTAGATTCTGATATTTTGATACATGATTTTGATACAGTATTTTGATATGATGTTTGAGAGACACGACATGTGATTTTATTATGTTGTTTTAGGAGTTATGGGTTTTTCTTTAATGATTGAAAATAAAAATTTTGGACTATAGGCTTAGGATGTTTCACGTACTCTTCTTGATCTTTGAATTTTTCTATTCATTGATAATGAGTTGATATGAACATCATATGGTTGATAGGTTGAAGTCTGAATTTTCTATCTCGTAGCTCTTCTTTGGGATTTTCAGACAATCATACATGTTACCAAGTGAAACAATCTGTTCGATTGTTTCATAATAGTATGGTTTGGTTGGATCACCCATCTCAAGACCAGGAGGATCTCCTTGCCTTGTCTTAAAATACTTTCGATTTGCCTTTGTCTTACAATTTCCTTTTCCAAGACAATCTTCTTATCTTCTTTAGTTGGATCAGTGTTGATACCCTTCCCTTTTCCTTCCATTTCTTTCTTTAATGGAGGTGGCTTCGAATTTGATCCACCAGCAGAAGAACCAATAGTAATACCTTTGGTTAAAGGATTCGAATTCATGATAGTTGAGGTAGTTGACAAGGAAGTTGGAAGCAAAGTAGGAAGCTGTGTACTCATTACTTTTCGTATAGCACTTCCTTGAGAATGATCATTTGACGAACCAGTATCAACACCTTTTGAAACACTAGAACCACCACACTTTTCTCGCTCTTGTACCCCTATTTTAATTAGTGGGGCATCAGATGGCATAAAATTAACCAACTTTAAAAGAGGAGCAAGATCAACCCTCAGGTTTGACTCCAACAAAGAAAACATTTGGGAAAATGATTCTTGAGAAACCAAAGATGAAGCAGAAACAACAAGTTTCGAAATTAACTCTTTTACATTCCTCAATAACTCTTCTAGTTTAACAAAATGCTTAGAATCAGACTCAGACTTCAAATTGAATTTGGTGAGAAGAGAGTTGCAAAACTCAACAATCTTCATAACAACATCAACAACTATATCAATCTTAGTATAAAGATTGAAATAGTTTTGATCAACTTTATCAACCTCCTTGGTCATCTTAGAACGAAGTTCCATAATTTTGAAATTAACAACGTCCTGCACCCTCTAAACTGCTCCGACAAAGAGATGATGTCGTTCTTTAGCAACTGCCCTCAAATCTTTAACTTCATGATTAAAAGAATCATATTATCACTTCAAACGCTCTTCATTCTTCATATCAATCTGATCCATGATGGTTTTCAGACGATGTTATTGGGCTTTTTACAATACATCGACTACAATCCCTGATACAGTGTTGCGACTGCCAGCATCAGATTGAATCTGAACCAAAGAGTTCAACTTATGATTCAAGATTTTGAATTATTTTCCAAAAATCAACATGTAATCTAGAATATTCTCTTTCTTAGGATCAAACTGAATATGACCAAACCAGATCATGTAATCATCATCATCTTGTTTAACCTCCAAAGTAGACTTTGGACCATCTGTTGATTAAGAAGGAAACAAAGAGGTGATAGGTTGATCCAAAACATGAGCATATGTGGGTGAAATAGTATAAGTAGATAAGGATGTAGGAATGGGTGAGTGAAGAAGTGGATTTATCAATATGGCGGTTTTCAAATGTAGATGAAATAATGATGGAAACATTAATAGATGAAGTAGAGACATTCGAAATACCTTGGACTTCGGCAGTGAACATAACATCACATATCTTGACATTTGTGTCCATATTAGATACGTCCACACTGATTCCTAAAGTTCGTACCTCCTCTAGAATGGACTTGGCAATCAAAACTTTGGGTAGTATGACTTGTGTCTACTCAGGGATGGATGGATTAGAAGGATCAACCAGATTAGTTGTTGTGTCCATATTAGATGTTTCAACATTGCCACCAGGATTTCCAGTTGGACTGATATTCAACATGATAGGAGAATCCCTATGACATGATGTGAATCCTATTTCTTCCGTTCTAAGTGGATTCGGAGTACCATCGTCTTCGAAATCAGTCTCAACCACGAATTCATCTAGAGACTCCTCCAACTTATTTTGCTTCTTGTTGAGCTTCTTTACCCAGTCACGAGCTATTTGTTTCTTTGAAGTCGGAGAAACTCGAGCAGGGTTTTTGTGAATAATTACCCCCTTGCGATTAATTCGACGTTTTCGAATCTTTTGTAGGTTTGATGCAAAAGATCCTTGAGGCGAAGAAATAGTCTGCACAGGAACATCTTCAAATATAGTCCTCCAATTTAGTGAATGTCGAGGTCTATGGGAAGGCTTCTTTGTGCGCTTTAAAATACTAGTCTTCGATGGAACTACCTCCGTTTGAACATCCTGTCAAACGAGTTCTTGAAAAGGCTCTGTAATAGGCTTCGTAACCTCTTTCTCAAGAACATGAGGAACAACTTTAGGTTTTTCAACCTTTGAAGGTTTCTTGGGACTTTTGCCACGTTTCGAATTTCCTGTAATTCCTTTAGGAAACAAGATGCCTGTTTTGATAGTAGGATTTATGGTTTAAAGATAAGCCACAAGAATAGGGTTTGCTGGATCCACTTTGCGAAGCATACCGTCTGGAATCCTTGCAACATTGTGAAACACCTCTGAATCATCCTCAACATTGTTCAGATGTTGATACATCCCAAAATCGGCTTTAGGAACATGAGCTGGAACCAAAATACCTTCCTTCTCATAAACATATTACCAGATCAGACTCCAATATCTTGCACATAACACCCCATTTGCAACGTTTGTTTGTGAAATACTAGCACCAAACTCATCCCATAGGTGAGTAGCATAATCACCATGCAAATCATAGTACAAGCTAGCAACCATAACATAGATTTCAAGTCTTCCTTTATCCAAACCCACACTTCGACTTGCCAGGCATCGAAGAAATATTCCAAATAAAAAGTTCCATACACACGGTAAAGAAGACAATTTAAATTGATTGACTTTTAGAATAACATATTAGAGTATTATCTTATTCCAAAAATGCATTCTAAAATTATTAAAGAAATGTGTAGCTATCCCTACGAATCGATTTAAAGTCAGTTTACGGAAAATTAATCATATTATCAATTTGTGTTGGTTAAACGGTCGTAACTTTTGCATTAGATCTCTAATTTCGACATTATTTATATCCACATAATCACGTTCTTATGCTCTATCTATTATCATCATATCATCATACCATACTATATTATAGAGGAAGCATTTTCCTTTCACCACATCCATTTAAAACTCCCAACTCTTCATATTTTCAGATAATATACCTAAATTTATTTACTTAAATATTTTTGGTAGTTATAACGTTACCATAACTGGAAGACTTCTTGATTTGTTGACTTTAATATAAAGTTGAATCATGTAACTTAATATATTAAATAAACTTAAAAATGGAATATGAAATTTAAAACCTGATGTAAAATATCAAATAAGATTTTATAAAAATTCAACGTATACTTTTTAAATACTTAACAGAAAAATATTAGATACGATAAATGTAAAAATCCTAAATCTAAAAGTAAAAATAACTAAAAGATGCCCAATAACTAACTTGTATAATAACCTAAATATATTTACTTAAATATGTTGGTAATTATAACATTATCATAACTGGAAGACTTTTTGAATTATCAATATGATATACTTAATTTGTTGATATAAATATAATATTAAATACATAACCTCAATTAATATATCAAATAAATTTAAAAATATAATATGAAATTCAAAACATAAAGTAAAATAAAAAAATTTAAAAAAATTTAACGTATATTTTTTAAATTGTTAAAAAAATATTAAATATGATAAATGTAAAAATCTAAATATAAAAGTCACATTAATTAAAAAAATGTCCAATTTTTTTTTCATACCAACTAAAATTTAGATAAGTTGTTTTAAAATTAATTTATAATAACAATAGTTAAAAATAACATAAATTTATAAATTAAATTATATATTACATTACAAACAATGCTTGATAATTTAAATAATCATCATGATAAAACTAAAACATTGTAAAAAAAATTTAAAAATCAATAAATTATCACAATAGTTAATTAAAATAGATAATCATACTATATTATAAGTGATATATCTTCTCTACCACCGTATGCATTTAAAACCTCTATGATATTTCACTTTCCAGCTTAATATAATTAATGTATTAATTTAAAATAAGATATTAAATGAAAAATATCAGCTATTATTGGTAGACTTTAAAAAAGATTCGTATAATACACTAATTTTTGTTAATTTACATATAATATATGGTAATACATTTAGTATGTTAAATACTATAAATGTACAATGACACATCAAATTAAATAAATAATATCAAAAAATAATTTTATTATAGTTCAATTTATCTTGTCATATCATATCATACTACCCTATAAATGAAATATTTTTTCAATCATTGTAAGCATTTGCAACCTCCACAATCTTCTAATTTCCACTTAATGTAATGAATCTATTAATACCATAAATGTACAACGACAAGTTAAATTAAATAAATAATGCCTAAAAATAATTTTATTGTAGTTCAATTTATCATGTCATATCATATAATATCATTATCATTATCATTATATACTTATAAAGGAAGTATTTTTCCTTCCACCATATTCGTTTGAAACCCTCATTCTTTTTTTTTCTTTCACTACACTCATTTGAAACTTCCATGACTTTTCAATTTCTTTCTAATAATAATTATAATTTGGTAAATTAGGTTAAATAAATATCAAACTAAATTGTAATCATATATAAACTATATTTCAATATTAAAATAATATCTTTAGTTATACTTATAAAATTATGTTCCTTAAGTTTTAACATAATATACTTAATTTATTAGTTTTAATATATTGTTGGATATAAACCATTATCATTTTAAATGTATAATTTTGGAACAATTTATATAAAATACTTAAATTATTACTTTAAATATAACATTATAGTGTCAACTTAAAAATAAATTTTAGTTTAACTTAAACAACCCAAAAAATATTTTATAAATAGTTAAAAGTGATAAGTTGTAGTATCTTTCTAATAATGATTATAAGTTGGTTAATAAGGTTAAATAAATATCAAACATAAAGTGTAATCATAAATAGATTATATTTCAATTTTAAAATAATATCTTTACTTCTATTTATAAAGTTATGGCTTTAAAATTTAATATATTATACTTAATTTATTACATTTGAAATTTGTTGTATATAAACCATTATCAGTTTAAAGCTATAACTTTTGAATAGTTTCGACAAAATACTTAAATTGTTAATTTAAATATAACATTACACTGTCAACTTAAATATAAATTTCAGTTCCACTAAGAAAACCAAATATTATTTTGTAAATAGTTAAAAATGATAAATGCAAAAACTAAATTATAATATCAATTTAACTAAAATATTTCCTAAATATATTTTTATAATAGTTAAAAATTTTCTAATATGTAACTTAAAATAACTAACAATAACAATAGTTAAAAATAACTTTATATAAATGATTATATTGTTACCTTTAAAATCAAAAAATAATATCTGATGTTTTAAATAATTATAATGATAGAAATTAAAACATTAAACAAATAAATTTTAAAAAATAATTAACAATAACAAGAACTAAAAATAACATTAAACCATATATAATATTTAATTATATTGATGTGTAACTCGTGGGTAGAAATCATTCAAACGATTGAGATTATGAAGTTATAATATATGTATATACTATAATATAATTCAAAATAATCGATATATTATATCAATTTAGCATTCAAATTATTATATCAAATTCAACAACAACGTTATTGTTATATTTAAAAAAAACATATGTTTGTGAAGACTTCAACTATATAGGTGTTTCTGCGCATTACAATGTCAACTCAAATACAAATTTTAGTTCCATTTAAAAAACTAAAAAATATTTTGTAAATAGTTAAAAGTGATAAATTGTAGTAATAAATGCAAAAACTAAATTGTAATATCAAATTAACTAAAATATTTCCTAGAAATATTTCTATAATCGTTAAAAATTTCGAAATACATAGTTTAAAATAACTTAGAAT